TGACGGAGCAGATCTGATAACTTTATGAAGGGCATGAATTTCTTTGGAAAGAACGAGTTCTGGAGCAGGAAACAATTGTCCGACGTAGGTAAGGCAGGTGATCGCGGAAGTGTTGTACAGCGACACGTTCAGCTGAATGGCCGCGGAGGCGTCGCCCAAGATCTGTGTACGGTGGTGCCACTTGGCAGCTGGGGCGGCCCATTGAGCGCGGTCATCAGCACATGGACCGATGTAGACTCCGAGGTACTTGGCTTTGCCGTCGATCTTGAACTGGGCCCAGGCGGGGTTGATCTCCCTGAGCGTGTCCCGCATGGTGTTGTCAACGTCTTCGAAGCTGTTGGTCCATACTGGAACAAGCACGCACTTCCGAGGTTGGAGCAACAGTCCTGCGAAAGAAAGGGCCGCCTCGGTATGCGGTAGGATGCCTTGCATGTCACGCAAGTGTGCTAGGACGCAACCTATGTCATCGGCACAAGCACTGGCCATGCCACGGCCTATCTGGAGAAAGTGGCGTTGGATTCCGCATAGTATTGGGTCGAACACCAGGGCCCAGATGGCGCCGCTGAGCGGGCAGCCCTGAGCTACTCCGCTGGCTGCAACGAGTAATGGTCGACGTGTGCCTCCCAGTTCCAGGAAGGCGATGTGCGAGGCGTAGAAGGACTGGAGGAGACGACGGGCGCGGCCAGCAATCCCCCATCTGCGAATCACTTCCCATAACCAATCGTGAAGCAAGCTTGGGAAGGCGGCGGCGATGTCCATGCTGAGGAAGCACGGCATGTGCTCGATGGCGTTGTCCATGGTGCTGTAGATGCGGCTGTACGTGTCGGCTTCGACTATGTTGTTGAGGAATTGGCGGCCAGGTACGAACCCTCGTCGGACACTCGACACTTGCTTGACAATCGGGTGCAACTTGCGGTTCATGGCGGAAGCGGCAATCTTTACGTCAGTGTTCTTCATCGCGGGAGGGCGGAGTTGGTCTAGCGACCGATAGCATTCAGCACGCCCAGCAGGCGCATCACCTTTTGGTAGCATGGCTAGTAGAGCGTGGTTCCAATCGTGCGGGATGATGTTGTTGGCTGAGAGGTTAGCCACGAGCTCTTCCAAGATCTCGAAGCTGTTGGGGGTGGGAGTCCATGCTTTGTAGGGAAGGCCATCTGGACCTGCGGCGGAGTCATGCGCTCGTTTTGCTGCTTCTTCAAGCTCTTCAGCGTTTGGGAGTTCCAGCGCAACCTGGTCACGTTGAGGAAAGACGGAGTCCAGTTAGGCATTCATGTTGGTAGTGTTTACAGGCTTGTCTGCGAATATCGGGCCCCAGTGCGCAAGAATGGCGTCGTGCATGTCCGACGGTGTCTTGGCGATGACGGATGAGTCACCATGCGAAATACGGATACCCGCGAGCACCAGCCGCTTGGAGAAGGGCTTCCAAAGCTCTCCCAGTCTGCGAGTGGCACAGGCTCGTTTCCGCCACCTGTCCCCCTGTTGACGCTGTAGACGTTGGTACGCATCACGGGCACGTGCGGCGGCGAGTGCGCGACGTTCTTCAGCGACAGCAGCATGAACTTCAGCAGCAGCATCAGCGAAGGCGTTGTCGTTGCTAAGGCAAACCTTGCTCGTGGGGATGTCGGTAGAGTTGTCGGTGATGATCTGTAAGTGCTTGGAGCCCAGATGGGTAGTGTCGATGAGGAGGCGCGCAAGCTTGATGTCCTGGAACCAGACCGCGCGGGAGATGCTTCTCATGGTCATTGAGTTGACTTCCTTGGAGATCGAAAGATGGTCACGTGCAAGGACTCCAGGCGGTAGCCGCGCAAGAGCATCTCGCGTGGCCTTCGCAGCGTTTGTCATGTTGGCTTTCAGCGTGCGCCACTTGATGATGGGCGCGAGCGAGTCGTACTCGGGCTCGGCGGAGAGCTTGTCGATGAAGAACTTGTAGAAATCGGAGTTGAAGAGGAAGGCAGGGATGCCTCGTTCAGCATGGGGTCGTTGAGCTCGGGGGCGAAATCGGACATGAAGGAGTTTATGGTCACTGGCAGGTGTTCCTTTTCGTTCAAGTGGCGAGTCGTCGGCCACCATGATCGTCTCGATGTGGGTAAGATTATGTGCCTGGAAGGATGTGAAGAAGCGATCAATGCTAGACTCAGTGTTGTTCGCGTAGCATCGGTGGGTGGTGGATGGCGTGCAGATCTCGACCAGCGGCCGGAAGAGCAGCTTCCAGAAGGTCGGCTGGAACTGGTATCGTTCGTGAGCGGGCACTTCGACAGGACGTAGTAAGCTGCGGGCAGGTAGTTCAGAGATATTGAAGTCGCCGAGCATGAAGAACATAACGTGCTCAGGGTCGCGATTTGCTTCATTCAGCGCCACTTGCCACGTGGCCTTGATCCGTCTTCGGCCGTCAGCAGATAGACCATGGTTATGAATGTTGAGGTAGATATGGAAGTACTTCAGGCTGGGGTCGCGGATTCGCAGTTCGGCGACTCGTCCAGGGATGACCGCAGAGAAGTTGATCATCGGCTTGGAGTTGTCCTGGTCGCCGCAGGGGATGAACTTCGGGATGAGGAAGGCGACGCCGCCCGCCGCGCTGGAGTCGGGGATGCCGCTGTGGTAGACGTCGTACTTTGCGCCCGTGGAGTTGATGAGGCTGCGAATCATCTGTGCGTTGCCGTGAGTCTCCTGAATGGCAATGGGCGTGCGCTTGGCGAGGTAGGGCTTGAGGATGGAGAGTTTGGCGTCGCGCTTGACGATGTTCGAGTGCACCAGCGCCTGAGCGTTCCAGCTGACCACCGAGCACTCAGTCGGAGATGACGAGGAGGTCGCGTTCCATGGAGTCCATTTGCTGTTAAATCCACGACACTGAAGTGGTCGCATCCGCGAAGGCAGCGGCAAGGGCGTCAGCGCACGAAGACCGCGTCGCAGATGCAAGGCCGACTCCCTCAGCAGCATCAGACCATTGAATCTTGGTCGCCATCTCGGGACGGGAGCCCACTTGAATGCGGACGATGGGCACATTGTCGATGGAGAGGTAGCCGTCGGTGCGGTGGATCTTGGGGTTGAGGTCCTGCTTGGCGTTGTTGATGATCCTTGCGAGCTTCTTGAGCTGGATCTCCTGCCTGATGAGCTTGGGGCTCTTGTCAGCGCTGACGTAGCAAGGGGCGCCGCCGATCGTGAAGGTACGCCATTCACGTCCAATACGGAGGTGGTGGTGAAGAGCTTGAGCACGTGGTACGGCGACCGCATCGGCTCCGAGTACGGTGATGGAGACCCGCTTGGCAGGGGCGGGGTTGTTGCAATGAACCATAGATACATCAATGCTGGCAGCCGCAAACCACTCGGCGATGGCCGTCTTGAGAGATGCTTGTGTGATGTCCACGGTGGAGGCGATCCAAAAGGTGCCGATGTGTGGGGCCCTGTCCCAAGAGCCGATGTTGCTGACGTCGAGCGAAGGAACTTGGGCTTCTGCATGGGCGATGGCGGTCTTGATCTTGTCCACCGCGTCGTTGAGGTTCTTCGACTCCACTTCGGAGGCGGGGACGCGCTGTTTGAGGGAGACGATGTCGTTCTCAACGTGGTCCTGGCGTTCGGTGAGCTTGGCTGTGATGTTGGTGATGTGCGTGATGAAACTGGCTTGAGATGAGGCGGCAACTTTCTCTGCAGTGGCCTTGAACTGTTCAGCCGCATCGGCAACTTGAATGGCCAAGTGTTTCGCGATCTCAGCGCGGAATAGTTCAAGTCGTTCCTTATGTGCAGCATCCTGCCATGGATCTTTGTTACTCCGAGGGCTACGTTCTCGTCGATCACGAATGGTGGCCAGGTCACACGTCTCGGGCATGCTGAGAGCTCGCAGTAGACCGATGGGTCTGGATACTCGACCGTCAATATGGAAGTGGCCGCGGCACCACGGTCAATCAATCCCGCGTGGATATGTAAGGAGAGCAGATAAAAGACACTCCTGAGCTGGCCCTGGAACAAGGGTATGCCATGAAAGCCTCTTGGCGCTATGCCAAGCAACATTGGGACCTTGAGCCAAAATGGCTACGGAAGGAGGAGGGAGGGGGAGGAGGAGGAGGAGGAGGAGGAGGAGGAGGAGGAGGAGGAGGAGGAGGAGGGACGAGGTGGAGGAGGAGGAGGAGGACACGGAGGA